TAAAAAGGATCCACAGAACAAGCTATTTTTTTCTTATCATGGTTTCTAAAGACCAAATTGACCTTGATGAAATACCATGACTGGGTTTAGATAGCATGACAGGCAACAATGGTAAGATACCACCATGGCTTGTGGTGTCATCTGAAATCAGCCCATTATCAGGAAACTTCAGTTCATGTTCATAGGACTTGCATGATAATACACAGCAGAAGCAATCTACTGGGGAAATGTCTTTCATGCCTTCTGCATGCTACTGGAATTCCTACCTATAACAACCCTGAGAAAATGCCAAACAATAATGTTTCAAGGTTGTCTTGTAACTATGATGAGGCGACCTTGTAACATTATGGTTTGGCATCTTCCCAGTGTTTTTGTAGGTAAAGCCTAAAGAAAAGATACCAAAGTAATTCTTCTTACTAGAATAGAATCCATGCATTCACGCAGCCCACTCACACTCTGTGAGTGTTCCTGGCAAACTCGAATTACTCTTTGCTTTTTTGGTCTGAAAATAGGAAGCTGTAATTACATTACTTTTCCAGCCAAGTCACATAATGGTGTGTTCTCTCTCCCTCACACAGAAACACATCTGTGCTTATCCTCAGTGTCTGCAGGGATTCCTTGCCTTTGCAGTGGTGGAGACTCAAGGAAACTGCTAATAGAAACATAGCTGATGGCTCATGACAAAGGAGGTTTGCGCACTGCATAAACAGACCTTTCATGTATTCCAGCCAGGAATCTATCAGAAATGGTATGCCTTTCTTTCATATCTCTTTTTCTTGACACAAAATCAACTGCCACTCTTAACCACCCTTAAATACCCCCATTCCCCCATCCCCCTGCTCCCCCAAACAATTCCATGTTTGCCCGGAACAACCTTGGGGCCTAGTTCTGTGGTCTTTTACAAGGGCCATGCAATCTCTCCCTTCCTCCAAAATAGGCACAAGTCAGCAAGAGATTATGACCACATGCCTCACACGTGTATCACCCAGCAAGTTTGCTTCTGCTGCTGTCAACAGGGATAATTTAAGCACATTCAGATTGGAGGGGGGCAAAATAAAATACATAATGCATGTTTTATAGTCTCAACTCTACCTAGGAGTACTCCAGATATATTCAAGTGATAAGATGTGGAATAGCTTATTATTTTCTCATCCTTCAATGGCAAATGCATTTGTGTCAAAGTAGTGAATAATCATAAGGCAAACACTGTTTTCTATATTAAATATCCATGTTGCACTTTCCACTTTTCATGCCACTCTATATTTGCCTTGTTTTAAACATTAAGCAGTTTGCAGTGAAGTATTACAGTGACCATATGTCCTGTTTTATAAAGGACAGTCCTCTATTTGAAGGACTGTTGAGTCCAAGTCTGGTTAAAAATAAAGCATCATCAGAAGGAAGACCTGGACCTTGAAGTTGTCCATCAGCAGTTAGCACCTGCAGAGCAAAGCAAATGGACACACAGGCCACCTAGTCATAGTCTTCTATGGTAAGATATACTGCATTTCTATTAGAATTCTTAAATGTGTATCCATACATATAATTTAGTATATACACAAGCAGTTAACTCATCCTAAAGCCATTCTTTACATGGGCCTCTCCAACATGGAAGTGGCCAGAATTTCTGCACGGTGTTGGTTCAACTCAGCAGTGGGAAGACATGAAGACTACTCATCACAAAGATTAGACCAGTTATGGCTACCAGCAATTTTCCAGCCACCTGAGATGTGACATGCTGGTGAGTATCCTCTCTGCTTGACTACAGCAAACCATGCCTTGACTCAATGTCTCTTATGCATTACAGCCATCTCACGGAACTGTATTCATGCAGAAGCTTTTCCACGTACTTCTATATGGAGTCGAGAGTGTATGGGCCTTAGACCAGGGGCAGGCAACTTATGGCCCTCCAGCTATTGTTGGATTATACTTCCTATTACCCCAAATATTTGCCAAGCTGGCTGGAGATGATAGAAACTGGAGGCCAAGTACATCAGGGGTACAGGTTCCCAATTCCTCCATTAGACTGAAATGCTTTTTGCAAAAAGTGCAATTGCAGCAGTGTGGGAAGAAAAAACACATTGGCACAGGATTTGACAGACCCATCAATTTAAGCTATTTTCAGTGTCACTAGCCTGATACAACAGTTTCTCAGGATTTTGACACATTTATCTAGAGGTGACAGGGATCTAATTAAATGGAAATTCTTCCCCTTCCATCTATGTTCCCTTCAGTTAAAGACCTGGTGTAGCATATTACCCATATAGTAATTACCCTTCTGCCAGAAATGCACTCCAGGCAATGCACAATTCATAGAAGCACAGGGCCCAAAGACATATGTTTAACTTCTCTTTAAAAAGTTTTAAGAGAACCTCTGTTGAACTTTGAAACAGCTGTAGAGAGAGGGCCTCTTGTAGTTGGGGAAAGTGTGTTTAACTATTCCCATTGCAAAATTTTCCTAATCTGAATTTGCCTCCAAAGCTACAATTACTCTAACTGGGGAAAATACAGAAACTATATAGGTAGTGTATTTTCCCAGAGGGAAAGTTGTGACTTCTGGGGGATGAATTTAGACTGGGAAAATGACAATGGTGATGAGAGGTTAGAACACACACACCAACTTGACTCTGATGCCTTCTATTCTGATCAGCCATAGAGCTTCCTTTAGAGGTCTTCAAAGGTAAAGCTGGGGTGTCAGGAAGTCCAATCATCCACATCCATCTCTCACTGTCACATCTATCCAGCTTATAATGGTTAAGAGATATTGGCTTCTTGCCAGCTTCGTTCCACACTGCCACCCGTCTTGCCTCTATAATCTGGGGATAATAAATACTGATCAACCTTGCAGTGTTGTTATAGGGATTACTGAGATAAAGAAGGTTCAGTGCTTGGAATACTCAAAAAGCTGTATAAGAATTAAATGTTATTATAAAACTCATACAACACCACAAATATTTATTCACTGGCCAGCACATTTCTATTACGGTGATGCACATGTAGCAAAATGGTTAGAGTGCCAGGCCAGACTAGGGATGGGGATTTTAACCTGGTCTCCTGTTTCATTTACTGAGTGATCTTGGACCAGCCATTGCCTAATCTTCATCACAGGCTTGCTGTGGGTATAAAATGAACCATGCTTGAGGCCCTGAGCTTTTAACAGAAGGGTAGGGTAGAAATACAAAAATATACTTTCATTTAAGTCTTACATGAAATTACATTCATAACAACTATTCTACCTTTTCTCTAAAGAGTTCAGGACATCAAGCTTAGTTCATTTTATTTTATCATCACACTTAAATTTGAAATGCTTTAGTTCAGCTGTTCCTGGCTGAGAAAGCTGCTATAACAGTTAAAGGCCAGGGACATAGGAAGTTGACTTATACCAGATGAAACTCCGTCTACCACAACTGGCAGTGGCTTTCTGGTAGGAATCTTTCATATGACCATTGAATTCTAGAGATGCCAGTGCTGAACCTTCTGTATGCAAGGCATGTGTTGAAAGCCACTGTGACGCAGTGGTTAAGAGCACAGATCTGGGACTTGGGCAATCTGGGTTCTAGTCCCCACTCAGCCATGGAGCTCACTGGGTGACTTTGGGCCCGTCACAGACTCTCAGCCCAACCTACCTCACAGGGTTGTTGTTGTGGGGATAAGACTGAGAACAGGAGGACAAGAATGATGTAACTTGCTGCAAGTTCTTTAAAAAAGAAAAAGGCAGGATATAAATCAGATAAATAAATAGTGTTCTACCACCATGCTAACTAAGTAAGGCCCCTTCCCTACAGCTAGAGATAGTAACTTTTTCAGAGATTTATTGATAGAACGATGCATCACGGTCCATGGGATGCATACTTGCCCCACCATCATTTGTTCTCAGGTTTTTCTGGGTTTGTGCAGTGCTGCAGAGACATTTGAAATGACCAGTAACAGCAGTGGGCCAAAGGAAATGATGGTTCTGGTATACTATGTACCTTCAACTCCCTTGAAATGATTGAATGGCTGTAACTAAAGTAAACTACAGTAGCAAAGGATCTCTCATGACCCTAATCAGAAGACACAGGGAGAAAGTTGTTGGGAGTAATGCACAAAACACATTATTTTGAGAAGCCAGGTTTTAACTCCCCTTACCATACACACACACATTCCATTTAACTTAAATGCATTTCTATCAATTTGGAGCTCACAGTGCTTTGAAGTTTTTCAGTGTGTACTTCAACTTTGCACGAAAAACTGCCTCTATCCCTAGAAAGGGGGTAGAGGTTTTATTTCCAAATGGCTATTAAGTCTCAGTTAAACTTTAGCTATTTTCAGAAGACAAGCATGGGATGAAAGCCAGGAATAACTACAAAGCAACTGTAAAGTGTTTCTTTATAGAAACACACACATAGAAAATAGAAGTGGAGTGACCATGAATGCAGTGTAACTACTTCTGAGACATTAAGGCTGGGTTGCATGTCCTTGAACATTAACAAAAAAATTTCAGACACATATATTTGAGCTAAATCTGTACATCTAGTTCAAATATTTCTTTACTATACAGACTGAGTACCCTATACTTCAGTCAGTATCTTGGAAAAGGAAATGGATTTCATTATTGCTTATCATGAACCAAGCATAAAATAAAAAACTGCAGTTCTGCGCTATGTGCATTATGTATGTGCCAATAACCAGGATGTTCTTCTCCTGGCCACAGAATCTCCAGATGGAAGCAAAGAGCAAGGAAGAGGCATTTTAGATGTAATCATTTGTACAAAAATGAGGGGCTGTGAAGCACTACACCATGCCGCACTCAAGCAGCTGGGACCTTTCAGCTTTTTATCTCCATAAAAACCCGCTTTAAGAGAGACTGAATTCCACTGAAAGGACTGATTCTAACCATTTTGAGGTAGAGCAAATAGAATACTTGCCTTTCTACAAAAAGGACTAGTTAACACTCATGAGCTCCTTAACTTTGTGGGATGATTGACACACATGCACACACAGAGAACATTTTAAGATGCATATGCAAACTGAAATATCCAGAATTTAATTTTTATACATTTTGAGAAAGGCAGTTATTTTTATCATATGAAAAACGTATTGTGAGAGTGCTTCTGTTTGTGCATGTTGGAACCAAATAACCAAATGAGTAGAAGGAAAACAGCTACTACAGCTGTTTTGCAAATGCCTAAGTAAGAGTTTGTGCAAGAGTTCATCCAGTGCTAGAACAGGCAATGCTTGATAGCAGTTTTCATTCTTATAGTTGTGCATGTGGAAGAACATCTTTGCCTCTGGTTTCACTTTTTTCCACTCAAAAATAAAAGTGCACTTCCACAAGCGGGAAACTTCTGGACTCAGCCACAAGGCATACCCTTTGGGCACTTTCAACCTTGGCATGTCTACTTCCAAGTATCACTATTCCATCATAGGTTCAGTTAGGCTTAACAATGAAGTGACAGTGTCAGGAATTCTGACCATCATGCCATATGTAGCTCCCTTCCATAAAGATCATATTCTTTGTATAAGATATATGCTTTGAGAACTGGTGGAAGAGGAACTTTCTGCATTGACTGCAGCTGCTGTGTCTGCTCCAGTCCTATATATTTACGTATTTTCAGGCGGCACAAATGCTTCAGTGGACGAGGATTCTCTAAAAGACAAAAACAAAACAAAGAGAGTGAGAGAGGGAGCATCGCAATGCAAAATATTGCCTATTGGCTATGTGAGAGGCAAAGGAAAATACATGGTATGGCCCAACACACTATGGACAGCTAATATAGCATATGGCGGGTTAGGTTATCATAAGCAATGCAACCTAAAAATTCTCCATGGCAGGTTTGCGTAGGGTCTTATTTTGCCAGTACCCATTATTAAAAGGACAATGCCTCCCATATTGACATTAGACAAATGGCTAAATATAAACCAAGTGTTAACAACACATGATCCATGGACACCCCCCCCCCCCCAAGGTTGCCACCCTCCAGAACTATTTGTTTCTTTTTAAAGCACCTGGAGCAGCTATTTTGAGACATCTGTCACTACTATGGAGCGGCAGGGTCAAAATGATGCTGCAAAACACCTAATTTTTGCACTTTGGATTCTGTAGCCACTGCTAATGTGTGTGTGTGTGTGTGTGTGTGTGCGCGCGCGCGCACGTGTTACAGTACAAAATGGGAGATGTGGTCTCTGTGAAGGGGACTGATCCTTCATTTATGGTGTCATGTAAACTAATGAGTGCCCAGGGAAGATGAATCAACAGCAAGCATTCTGCCTGGGTCCACTGACTTTTGCCGCAGGTCACCCTACACCTCAAGTTCTATCCTAAAAATGCACACTTCTTAAGATTCATCTCTCCAATCTTACCTATCTCCACTTAGACAAATAGTACTCAAACCTTTTCCTTCTAATCCTTAGCATATTTTCATGGAAGTAAATCATGTTTATTCCAAGTGCATATGCTTAAGATCTGGAGACAGCAGCAAAATACATTCAGTGGAATAAATTTCCCTACGATATGTAATTTTGAATCTAATAAAAATATGCTCTGATCTTTTAATTATTATGTTATAGAAGGAAACAGCAGACATTCTTTTAAGGCAATACAATATATTTACCTAATATTTGTTGGATCTCTGCCCATTCTTTCTGGGTCTCCAAAGCAAACTTAAGTTTTGGGCATAGAGGAACGTAATCCATGTAATCTAGCAAAATGCGAACAATGGGTCCTACTAAATGTTTCATCCAAGGAACGGTAATAAAGTCACAGAACTGAAATGAAACATGTCCAGTAATACATTAACTTCCTCTAAACTGAGTATCCATAAACATATCAGAAGACCACACAAAATACAATATTCGAAATATGTCACTGAAGAAAACTCATTTCTGACTTGTTTTGTTCTCTAAGAGGACAATCTTATGCATGTTATGACAGAAAGAAGTCATAGTCCCGGGAGTCATGTGTAAATGTGCATAGGATTGTGCCCTAAATCCATTTGAGAGAAACTGGAATGTTATATTCAGAGATGAAAATGGATATATTATCTGATATCCATAAGTGCTTGTCCTATGGGCATCTCAGTCCACAAAGTAGCTGAACTAATGTTGTTCATACATTATTAATCGTGTTGTTCTTGCATTCTAAATTCATTTGTAATGAGAAGCTATAGATTTTCTTTAGCTGTATAGCACTGTTGCCTGCAGCAGAAATTATATCTTATGCCCCACAAAGAGAGCGGAAGTAAACAGATCTTTCCCCTGCTAAGGCAATTTTCTTTTACTCTACAGATATAGAGAGATTGGCTCTCTTTGCTTCTAAGAGCCAAGAGGCAACTAGGGTGCCCTCCAGCATTGACACCAGCAGTCTCAGTCAGTGTTCAGTGGTTCCACATACCATTTTTGATTGCACTATCTAATATCAGGGACCAGCTTCTTGCCCACATATCACTGTGCATGCTGTTGTTGGCATTCCAGCAATGGTTCTGCCCTGAGCTATAGTCACTGGTAGCACTAGTAGTCACTGGTGCCACTTGAATTATCATCTATTGGTGGAGAATCCCTTTTGCTGAAGAACTATAAGCTGATTTACCCAATGATTCAATGTTATTAATGACCCTATATAAATTTACTCTGATTAAATAGACTCAAGTCATTTGTAGACAGCTAGACCAGTTGTCCAACATTATGTCTGGATCCTAAGCACCCTTATCAACTAAGGAAACTGCATGTCAACATTTCCTTCTTACAGCAACCCTTCGCTAGCAATTTCAGTCTCAGTCTACACTTGGCCTTTGTCATCATGGCTAAAAATAGGAAAAGGGATGACTATTCATACATATCTAGTTCCTCTGGAAGCAAACAGTCCAATCATAGTAAAACATTTGTCATCTTAACTCCAATAGTAACCAGTCTAAAATTCTATACTTAGAAATGTTGATTACAGACATTACACAATGAGAAAAATCCAAGAACGTGCTTACTGGGTTATCTTTAATCACACAAGATGTCCATCCTGGTAATACTTCTTCTTCCAGAGTAGACCACACAAAAGAATGTCCAAAGATGTCCCCATGCATGCAGTCAAAACACAGATACACATCATATCCATGGTTCAGCAGCAACCTTAGCATTACCTCATCATTCAAAGCATACTGAATGGCACTGGGGAAATGAGTGTCATTCACACGATTAAAGTAGCAGTTCACATTGGCTCCATAAGAAAGAAGCAACCTTACAATTTCATGATTGCCAGCTCTCACTGCCACAAGAAGACAGTTGAGGGGGTCTCTGTTAGGGTCTGCACCAGCTTGCAACAATACTTCTGTTGAGAGAATGTCATTGTGGGAAACAGCAAAATAAAGTGCTGTTTTCCTTTCATCGTCATAACTTTGTGAAATATGTTCGGCCAGGAGGGCATTAACATCAAAACCATTTTCAATTAGAAGTTCTAGGCACTGTGGGTTTTGGCCATCTGCTGCAGAGTGAATGGGACTCTGTCCACTTTTCTGGATTGCAGTTTTGGACGTAACTGGAATGAGGAATTTCAAGGCCCTATGAAAAATTAAAATGAGTTTAATAGATGAATTGATGGCTGAAAAACACAATAGACTACTGCAAACCAAAAGTACAGGGCAGTATCCAACTGAACACAAGCACAAGCGTAAATGACATTATGCTAGCAATAACTATGTTGCATTACTGTAGGGGACACTTAGCATTAGCTGGTTTCTAGGGAATCCAGTGTGTCAATAACTACTATTGCTGTTACACAAGAGGTTCCTTATACTAGCACACTAGAGGTCCTTTACACTGTGGACTTTTTCAAGGACAAGCCATGTCAAGCTGTCAATTTTATGATATGGGAATGGAGGCCATAAAATATCTGATTCTACCATGTTTGTGCATTTGAGGTTTTTTTTTCTCTCTTGTTCCTAAAGGACCTTTTCTCCCTTACTCCAAATAAAGTTTTGTCAGATTTCATGATGCTTCTTAAATATAACACTCACTTACATTAGTGCTGCTAATTGATACTGTTGATGTTGAAATGATTAGAGCACTTGCGGGTGACTGGTGACAATAACCACAGGAAGGCACTGCCTGACATGACACCCTAATGCAGACCTGAGCCTATCAGTATTATTAGTGCCATTGTTCTTGTTTTCGTTTCTCAGCCATGCCACAGCTGAAGTTCTCTAGACAGATTACAACCAATTAAGAGAATAAAATTGCTCTTGTGCAGTTGTGAGGATGAAATACAGTGGCATAGTAGATCTGGTACCTACAAGGACCCAGCACTGAGCCTTCTTTATTAGCATGGACACTGATGTCATCTGCCACGGCCCTCTTCCTTCAGGCTTCCCAGTTACCTCTGATGGTACCTCTGCAGTTACCATCTTAACTGCAATCCACACAGTGGCTGAAGAGAAATGAACCATCCCAACAAAAATATTTTGTTCCCTGATGTAATGCAAAACATTTGGAGTAGGCATTAGTCCTGAATGGATAGTGAAGGGAGGAGATAAACTGTGTGATGAAATCAATCAATGCAGCTGCCTGAATTTCTGGAATATCCTTGAAGGTGTGACTAAGGGGCTTCACATGTTGAGGGCTTGCACCTCAAAACAGACCACCTCAGCAGCGATAAAGTGTGAAATTATCAACCCTGGGGGAAAAAATCCCAGAGGCAGACTGGTGGGGGGGAATCTTATTAATTAAAGCATGATTTAAACAATTTACAGTGCAATCTTATGCACGTTTACTCAGAATAGGTCTTACTCCCAGGTAAGGGCAAAAAGAAAGTTTTGGACTGTAAGTGCTTTGAAACAGGGATCTTCTTCTGCTTGGTCATCTGGTGAAGGGCCACATACATCAAAAGTGGTATATAAATAAGAAATCTGTCACCATTAAATAGAAATAATGAAAGTGTGATCTTTGCTCATAACTACAACAGGAAAGTTTCATACAAATGGCTACAAAGGAAAATGAAGTGTACTCACAGATAATGCCCTTCATAGGCTGCTCTGTGGATAGGCAGGTGTCCAGCTTTATTCGGCAGATTACCGCTTCCCCCATATTCCAAGAGCAAAGCTATACAGTCTGGATTACCACCTCCAGCCGCTTCAAAGAGTATTGATGAGCCATCATCAGCTCTAGCAGAAACATCACCACCTAGTGGGGGAAGGCAAACTAGCCACTGAAGCCAAAAGTATTGTGTCAATACATGAAAAAGGCCAGCGATTTTTACACTGGTCTATTATGATATTAAAGAATGGCCCTGGAAAGTACAACAGCAGAAGTAAGAGCTTAAAGACCCATACAGAAGGTATCCTCTGTCCTGCGTGATGATTACTGTCATGTCTTCACCGATGCCATCGAGGTAGGACTTTGGAAAGATGACAGGAGTCCCAATCAGCAGAATGAGAAGAGTAGCAGGGTTGAAGAAGTGCATTTTGAAGAACATGAATTACCTAACTGCCCTGCTGTCTGTGTTTTAAGAGGAAGAACAAATTTTTGTGCCATTTGGCCATCTAATATATGCTTACGTCCAACCCTCAATAGCTGGTCTTTCAAAAAAGAGCTTTTCTGTCATTTCCATAAAGGCTAAACATTCCATAGTGTTTGCTTTGTGCCAGTGGAATAAAAACCCCTTGTTGTTCTTGTGTCTTTGTTGTCTGCATAAATAGCAAAGGTAAAGAATCAAAACAAAATGAAATGTCCTGGTGTAGGGTTCCTTTGTGTTAGAATTGCCATCTCAGAGAAGTTGTCATTGCCTATTTGCATACATTGGTTTATTGCTCCACTGCACAGATATATGTAGTTTAAAAATGCCAAGGAGTAAGTTTAAAAGCAACACACTGGAAATCAAAAATAACATTTAAAGGATTCAGGCATGCCCAGTGTAAAACTAGATGGGTGCATAAGGCATAACACGTAGTCTGCCAGTGATTAAAGGGAGAGAACCCTCCACTTGGGTGATGTCCAGTGTTGCACTGGGGGACTCATGCATGTGCCACAACTTTCCCTTCCCGTCCTCCCCCTGCATCCTGGAATCTGTTCAAAAGACTCCCCAGCCCTCTGGAACACATATTATTTTGGGGCAGGTCTCCAGAGGGGAAAGGGCAATCTGTTGTACGAATTTCATTCCACTGGTGGACAGATGGCATTGGAAAGAACCAATTTGATTTAGTTTTAGTTTATAGATAATATACAAGGGTTTATCAATATTTAATATTTTCTATGCAAAGCCTTTAGATATTATATTAAACAGTATACAAGTTTTGCTAATATCAATAAGTAAGGCTAGTCTAATATATGGCTTTTCAGATTGCATTTTCTCCAATTTCAAAACATGAAAAGCAGCACACATGAATTATTCCACTGTATCTACACTATAACTGTGTGAGATAATATTAATGAAATGGTCAAAACCAGAAGATTTCATAGTTGAAACCCCAGTGTAATCTTCCCCAGCCTGGTGCCGTCCAAATGATTTGGAATGCAACTCCCATCAGCCCCGACTGGCTTGACCATTGGGGCTTATGGGAACTGTAGTCCAATACTTCTGCGGGCATTAAGTTAGAGAAAGCTGCATCAATGAAACCCATCTCCACTCGTACTATGTACCACACTATAGTCCCTTTATGGGTCAACCTTTATGGGTATTAAAAGCAAATGAGTTGTGTCCTCTAGGTCTTGGCTGGGTGGTCACAAAAATCAAGCAACCTTTTAATGCTTTAGGCCAATGGCATTAAATAGGAATAGGAAAAAAAATCAAAGGTACAAGAAATGGAGGAAAGGTCTTCCAAAAAGATCCCAGCTAGACATCAAGATTACTATTAGACAAACTGATACTTAACTTCACTAGTCCTTATAGATTTGAACTAAATATGAGGAGGAGGAGAGGCAGACAAGCATTGTTGTGGTGGAAGATAACACTTGAAGTATAAATAGTGTTGCTAACCCACCTTTATGAATTAGATGCTCCAGCACATCACAGTGGCCATATTCAGCAGCTGTGCCTAAGGGTGTTACCCCATATCCATCTCTCAGGTGTACATTCCCACCATTCTTCAAAAGAAGCACCACAAGGTCACTGCGACCTTGTTTGGCTGCTTCATGCAGTGCCGACCAGCGTTTTACACATGGCTGATTGATGGTGCAGTTGTACTCAATCAGAGTGGAAGCCATTTCATAGGAGCCCTGTCTCACTGCTTAAAATTTAAACAGAAGATAATGCTTCAGATGTTATGCTTAAAAAGAACAAACTGTCATTTGCAGAGTAAAGAATTCTTTTCTTTTTACTGAGTAAGATAAAGAAGAGATTGAACTAAGTTCAGGGATTCCCATATAAATCATAATTTAACAGAACATTCAGTATACCTATACAGATCTACATAGGCAATAACATAAATTTTAAAAGGGTGAATGTTTCCTCTTAATTATTTGGAAAATACAGTTGATTATGATGAGGGAGAATAATTATTTACTTGGTTAAGGATTCAGGATTACAGTAAGTCTGTTATAGGAGGGAGAATTCAGAGTTGAAAAAGTAGGGTATGGAAACAGTGGTTGGTTTAACAAATTTCATTTGAATCAAGGGACAAGAGCAGAGCACTGATGATGTGAAAAAGCTATTTAGAAATTATTTGTGTTTGTTTTCAAGGTAAATAATTCATGTGGAAGACTTTTGTGGCTGAGCATCTGTTAGTCTGATCATGCAATAATAAAGCACCGATCAGGTGACTTACCAGTTTGCATAAGCATAAAAGCTTAAACATTAAAAGAAACATAATATTTATTTGTTAATATTGTATTAATTTATTAAAATGAATTTTTAATTCATGTGATCCTATGCAACCATGGAATAGTGAAGGAAGAGGGAGCAGGAAGGAAATTTTTAATTCAAAAGTAACATTCAGAATGTTCAACGAGGCTTACTTTCTATATGTATATTTAAGATCTTTAAGATCTTTATTTTACATAAATTTAAAGTTATTTAAATCAACAACTCCAAAACAACCTTAGAAACATCCAGAAATGTTGGGACCACAAATAAAAGCAAACATTAGAATTATTCATTTTGTTGGTTAAAGAGTGAGCTTCAATATTCCAGCAAATGCCAAGGACAGGAATGCCTACTGTTGGTAGAACTATCTGAAATGCCTTCTTGGGAGTGAGAGATCAGCCTGCTGCCCAAGCACATCTACGCACAACTCCTCTGAGTGATTTATCTATTATTTCCTCTATTCTTTGGACACTCTCAGATCTGCCAGGAGAGCAGGTACTAAAACAGGAACAGGACTGGCTGTGTGATCCCACATATTTAGTCTATGGCTGAGAGCAGCAATTAGCAGGTCTAGTTTCTCCACTGTAAATAGCAACTGTAAGGACCCTTATGCTAGCACTGGGAGTGCACTGGACAGAGAAGGGAGTTAATTCATTTCACCCACACCACAGTCCTGATGAAAACTGCCCCTATGGAACTACTATTAGTTCTAAGAGGAAAGGCTGTCTTGACACCAGTGGAGGCTTCCCCACAAGGGTGAAAGCAGCTCCGGAGTGGAGAGATGTTTTTCAGCATGGTTGCACTATTTGAGATGGAAAGAGTTTACCTACTCCCAAGTACCCTCATTACTGTTCATGGTCCTCATCCTGCATGCCCTGCTTGGGAGTCTACCTACATTTATGTGAAAATGTGCTAGTTGCTCCCATGTAATTAACATCTAGTTTAGCTCTTCATCTCCTGCAGCAGTGGTGCTGCTCTTTTTGGAGGTGCAGAATAGAGAGTGAGCTCTATTTCTTTCTCCAAGAGAAAAGAAAAGCCATCATGGCTCTGCCTATGTACATTATACTGAGATCCCAATTTGTTACACTGCAAATCAAAAGGTTTATACAGCATCAGAATAGCGGGAAGATTTTCCCATGCCTTCAAATACCACCATTTTGGTGTACCAATACCTGGCGAAAACACCCAGCCCTTGATCCTTTGTATTCCTGAATCAGATGTGCTTTGAAAACAGTTAAAGTTCAGTACATAAATTAAGAGGAATATTCAGAATCAAAAAATAATTAAATGAAATGTTCAGGCAGCAAAGGGATGAATAGCAACAGCTCATGTGATTAAAAGTTTGCATGCTCAGTTTCTAGGTTTCCTCATGATGGTCATCTTTTGTTTATGCAAGAACAGACAGCAAACTAAAACACCAAAGCCACTAATAAAGTAATTACCTATCAGAAGAGGGGTTTCTCCTTTTCTATTGGTAGTATTGGGCCAGACCCCCTTTTCCAATAGAGTCCTGACATTTTTCACATGGCCAGATTTGGCTGCCAAAGTTAACGGTGTTTCTCCATCACATGTTTTATATTCCCACATAGCTTTATATGATGCTAGATTTAATTAAAATAGTGTTAGTTTATACATATGACATTTAAAATGCACATGAAAAAGATTTTAAATGTTTTAACTGGTTAGCCTATCAGTCAACAGTCAAGGTCTAGTGCACACACACACAGAGAATATGTGTGTGTGTGTGTGTGTGTGTGTGTGTGTGTGTGTGTGTGTGTGTGTTCATCAGCCACAGGTTATTGCAATGCAGAAAATACAAACATTGAATACATGTTTTTATTCCAAACAAAACAGGTTTCTAGATATGTAAAATAATGTTGCAGAGAGGGCTAAATCCAACACTGAATGAGCAGATTTCTACCCATGCAATAGGAGTTTCTCTCTTCCTCTACCTTACAGGCCCCTGAATTCTGCTCTAGATGCTGCTCAAAACCATTCTGAGGGCCATGCAGGAGGAGAAGAAATAAACTCTGCCAACAGTTTCCATTATGGGGAGGGAAGGGTACCTCTCAATACAACCCAGTGGATATAAATGCAGTCAGCCTGTATGCATGTATCTTTCACACATTGCCAAACAAAATAATAGATGGCTGGCACTGTCAACTTTGATAGCACTGATTACAGCCAGCTGCCTTCCTGGAAAAGGTGATTGACACTGTGCTGAAAGCAACAACCATGTACCTGTTTGGTAAAGTTCAGTGTCATGACAGAACCAAATGTTGTGCTCATATTTTGACTACTTACTTGATGGACTAAAGTCTCCTGGTGGGGTTTCTCTTCTACCAGCCTGTTCTATATCTAGACAGTGATTTCCTTCCTTTATTTCCTTCCTACGCCCGTGAGTCCTGCTTTACTACTGTGACCTTGGACTCCCAGCTATTAGTTTTCTGGCCTACTCTATCTTCCTTCTTTTTGTCACAACAGCTATTAATTTCCCTTCCCATGCTTAGCCTTTAAGAAAAAAAGGCAGGGACAACATGTATCCCTCCAGATGTCTTGGTCAACAGTTTGCATGATCTGTCATCACTGGCTTTGCTATGTTGAATAAATGGGGGCAGTGACTCTCTAGTTGTCTGCTTTGAGCCCACATCCACGTTTTGATTAGGCTTCCTGATGCCTGCGTTCAGATTTAAATTCAGACCATGCTTTCTGCTTCCCAGGATAGTTACTCACCTTGAATCCTAAGATGATCGTCTTCTACACTCTGTATAGGGATAATACACTACAAAGGCAAATCTGTACATACAGATGAGAATCTAGACAATCATCAGACCAAACATCAAGGAAATCAGTCATATTTCCTGAGATGCTAATTCTATCATGCTTTAGATTGGCTATCTCTGCTACTCTCTGTGACAGTCTGTGCCAACTTACCATCCAATATTACTTCAAGTATTTGCTGGATTGGCTGAGAAGCAGCTTCATGTAAAGGAAACCAACCTCTTTCATCAGCCTCATCCAAAGCATACTTATATTTCACATAGTTCTGAAGATCAAATATTTGGCCTAAAGAGAAAAATAACAATAATTTGATGTAAAATAAAACAAATGACCACCCTTGAGGAGCAACTTTTGTCTTACAAAACCAGGAAAGCTGTATACCACTTGAGGGAACTAATCATCTGGAAAGGCACAAGTAGTTAGCCTTGCCCAACCTGGTACCCACCAGATGTTTTCTCTTACATTTCCCATATGTCCAGATACAAGGGCCAACAGTCAGGGACAATGGGGACTGTAATCAAAAATATATGGAGAGTACCAAGCTGAGGAAGGCTGATGTAGAGGTAAAGAAAACTGAAAACAGTGGGGTTAAATGGCAGAAAAAGAAAAAGCAAAAAAAAAAAAAAAGGAAAAAGGGATACCATCTGGGATCATTCACAGTTAAATGTAAGTAAAATGAGTGCACAGCTAATTCAAAATAAGTTATTGATAACAATAAAATACATGTACCTTCTCTTATGGCAGCTACAAGTTTCCTATTTTGTCCACTGAGTGGCAAAAACCTATTGAAAAGATGGTAGAAGAGGAAAGATATAGTAATACCTCTAATTTCAGGAGCGGTTGCTATTATCACATTATACATATTTCATAGTTGAAGACTGGAAGAAAAGTCTGGCAGGATCAGACCCATGGCCTAGCTAGCCCGGCATTCTGTTCCCATAGTGGCCAACAAATGCCTAAGGGAAGCCCACAAGTGTAACACAAGCACAGGGCCAGCCATCTGATCATGCTCCCCAGTTATTTGCATTCAGAGGTATAGAACCTGATGCTGGAGACACCATACAGCCATCACAGAAAGCCAGCATGGCACAGAGGTTAGCCTGGGTCTCAGGCCATCCAGGTTCTCATTTCTGTTCAACCATGAAGTTCACTTGGTGGCATTGGGCCAGGTAGGATATAAATATAGCAAATGAATAAACGAAATTGTGACCGTAGTCACTGTTTCACTGTTGGAATCTTGAGAATGGCAGACGTGTTTTTGGTATGGGTGCCTTTATGTGCAATTTCTCGTCAACCCAGAGGGAAGAAGCAACCAAGTTGTTGCTATATTTTTCCACACTTGTGCCCAACATGTCTCTACATCAACCCACTAAGTTTGCTGAGATCCACCAAGATGCCTTCTCAGAGACTTCTAGGTGGCAAATTTTAGAGGACATGTTATGCCAAGATGCCTTTCCAGTCAATGCTACACATCTTCAAGCACTTGACAGCTTGTCATAAAGAGGAAGGCCAGGATCTCTTCTCAAGTATCCCAGAGCGCAGAACATGGGATAAGGGGCTCAACTTACACGAAGCCAGGTTCTGGCTGAATATCAGGAAGAACTTCCTGACTGTTAGAGCAGAACAACAATGAAGCCAATTGCCCAAGGAGGCTGAAGGCTCTCCCATACTAGAGGCCTTCAAGATTCAACTGGAGAACCGTCTGAGGAGAATGGTTTAACTTGATGTCCTGCAATGAGCAGGGGGCTGGACCTGATGGCCCTCTTGGCCCCTTCCAACTCTACTATGCTGCGGTCCTATGGTCTTTTGGAAAGGCTGCAAGGCCAATCACTTTGAGCTGCTTTTGGTGATCAGAGCAGAAGCAAAGAAATATTGGCTTGGTATGACTGGCGGAATTTCTCTCTTTAATGGGTTTCTTTAACCTTATTTTACATTTATTAGAAACAACCCAAGACCATCAGAGTGACACAGACTATAAATTTAAATAACAACAATACCACAGAACCCTTTAGCCCAATCTGTCAAATAACAAGGGATGATATCCAGCAACAAAGCCATTGCTAGCCCTCTAGCGAATTCTAAGCAATAGAAGAAACTCTCTAGATAGTAGGAGGAGTATACTGAGACAGCTCAGATTCATAGCACTAAAGATTCTGCACTGGGCTATCAAAACTGCTGAAATACCTTGTTTCATGGTTGGGGGAAGGTGTTTGCTGATTCCGTTCACTTTCAAGGGATTCCTGGATGCTAAATTGAATAGCATAATCAACGAGGTGGTCTTCATCAGAGGCCTCATTCCCTTCCATTTTGGAGGTATGTGTTAAAGAGCCGCTGTCAATCCACAAAAATAAAGCAAAAGTCACATTTCATCACAATTTTCTACTTTTCTTACCAAAGAACTGTTGGACTGGGACTTGGGAGAACCGGATTCTGACCCCTCACTCAGTCATGGCACTCAATGGGTAACTTTGGGCCAGATACAGACTCTCAGCCTAACCTACTCACAGGGCTGTTGCAAGGATAATATGAAGAAGAGGAGGATTATGAAGGATGCCTTGGTGCCTGTGTGAATAAAAGACAGAATATAAATAATAGGACTGCTTTGTTACATCCTCTTTGGACTACTGTAACAAGCTGTATGTGGGGTTGCCTTCAGTTTGTCCAGAATGCCATGGTCAGACTGTTGAGCAGAAATCATGTGACTCCCTCATTAGAAAAGCTTCATTGGCTTCCCATCTGTTTCTGAGTACAGTGCAAAGTGCTGGTTATGACCTATAGAACCTTTATATGGACTGAAATGGGGTTACCAGAAAGATTGCCTTTGCCCATACGTGCATCACTGGTGAGGGCCCTTTTCCTGGTATTGCCCCCATCAGAGGCATGTTTATTATGGATGTACAGGAGAGCTGTCTTGGGGGCTGCTTCCAGCTTCTGGAATTCCCTGCCAAGGGAAGCTAGGCGGGATGTTCCGTACTGTTTTCCACCAGCAGACAAGTATGTTTTTATTCGAGTAAGCCTTTGGCAAGATAGCTGTTCCTGTGGGCAGAGAGCTGTTATTATGCTTTCATTACTGCCCTTTGTGTTGTAATATGTTCATGAATGTTTTAATTATGTTCTTATATTAAATGTGGCCATTTAGTACTGTTGTTATCCACCTTAATTGCCATTTATTAGTAGAAAGGCTGGCTACAGTTGGTTTAGTCAACTATTTTGCATGCTCAAAATCTTCAAGACTTGGCATTGCATAATATTTGCATTTATTATATGAAGGCTGAGCTTAGGCGGAAACACAGCCTTGTCACTCCAATAGACAGCCCAAATGCATCACTCCTCAATTTCACATCTGTAGGCAGACAGCCAGCATCCTAAGATGCTTGCAGAGCCCAAACCTAGCTGTACTTCTTGCTTTCCCACTCAAACCGCAGTTGGTTCTTCTGAGGCACCTTGCCCTCTCCCACTAATGGGTGGGTGAGTGGATCTAGGCACATTATCTCATCTGATACTCACCTTGCCTTCTCAGATCCCACGGAGGCATATCACTGGAACTCCATGGGCTATTGACATTCCTTGGTCAAGTCCAAGCAATGCCTCTGAAATCTGAAAGCCAATGCAGAATATTATTGTTTGATATTTCTATCAAGTGGACAACAAAGGAGCAGTATTGACTTTGTGTTCTTGTACATTATAACATTCTTATAACTCAGCTCAAGTTAAGTACTTCACCTAAGTCAATGAGAGAGGATATGTCTAATTTTTATTTTTTGCTCCAAGAGTAATGATTTGCCAAAAAGATTTTTCAACATGCAGAACAGGCTATTCCTTGTACTAAAGTACCATTAATCATACACAACTGGTATGATTTTTTAATGTGACACAGGTGAAATTTATAAATCTTAGGTCATTAATGCAGAAGCATTATAGAAGAGGAGAGTAATAAACATGCAACCTCCAGTTATTCAAAGCAACACCATACATCATTAATCACAATCTGTATTTGGTTTACTACTAACATAGTATTCCTAGTTTTAAACTGCCATCATTCGGTTACTTTGACAATCTGCAAATAACTGGAGATTCTTACCTTTTGAAAGTTTTGTCATTGTTTCATTGGGCCCTGAATTTCAAACATGCAGGAATAGGCCTTGTGAGCAGCTAGGTCATGTCGTATTTCTAAAATTAAACACACAGTTGGTAGTTAAATTAAGGTCTGACCTTATGCAACTGAAACACAAACAGCCTGCAGGAAAGTATGACACATGACTGCTCTTAAAACTCCTCAAAAGTAATCTGAGGTCTGACTGGTATAAATAAGATTATTTGGTCCTAATTAGGCCAGCCAGCTCATTTTATAAGAAAACAAAAAAGTAGTCATCTTAAAATTGTAATTCCAATTAAATCAGTCCTCATATTCCCAATCAAAATTGAGAAAATTGCTTGGCTTAGACCATTTCAGTGAAGGGACTTCCATATTCAAATTATTGGGAGGGCTGAATTTATAACCGGATCTATGATATACATGATATGTACACACTCGACCATAAAGCCCTGTATAGGAATGGGAAACCTATTTTAGCCCAAAGTTCTTCAGTGCTACATAGCAGTGGTGAGCAAGGCAAAAGGATCCAGAGAAAAAAATACCAGCATTGCATACATTAAGGTTTTTACTGGCATTAAGTAAGCATTAGAAGCATTTCAATGGTTGGGGGAGTAGGGAAAAGAATAACTGAACAAAAATCAGATTTGGGAAGTAGTCCTTTGAGGAACCCCAGCTTGCCACAGTAAGACCCCAGGAGGACCTGATCTGCCCTGCTATCCTGAGATTTTCCAACCCTTCCCTGTTAGCTTGCTGCATCTCCATGGAAAGCTCATCAGTGTCTCTTAAGTGCTACAGTAATAGATTATGGCATTTGTGTGGCACATACCCCATCAGCACCAAACTATAGAGGATGCACTTCCTCTCTCTCTAGAAGAAAGTCATCTGTGCTTCTCCCTCTTCCAGCAGGAGTGTTGGCCCTGAGGTGCTAAGTCTCAGATCTGAGGGACTAGCAACCTCATGTGGCGGAGAGGTGGCAAGCCAAGCATAAGGCAGGGCCAAGCATCAGCTCTGTAACAACAGTGCAAGGCTGAGGAGCCCCACCAGTCCCCTGAGCAGTGAGGAAAGAGTGTTTTGTGTTTGGTGAGCTGGCTGCATGGTTTCTGTGCTTCTTTTTGTTAGTGTAGTTATAGAGGTTGGGGGAACAAAATGTGGCAGAGGAATGAGTGATGGATTGCAGCAGAGCAGGTATGTCCACCTCAGCAGCATCATGGGATGGGTGGAAGCAAGAGATTATTCTTCCGTCTTTGAGGAGACAAACTGCATCCTCAGTTCAGTAAAAGCAGCATAAAGGTGCAATCAGCTACAGGTTTTCTTTCTAGCAACTTGGATTGGTGGTTTTCTCTTCTTTCTTCTTCAAATTCTGGCCACCGCCATTTATTTTATTATTGGACATCAGCCGAAGAGTTAAATACTGCTCATTTATATTACAACTGTATATATGCATGAATTTGGGAAGACCCTGAATTGAATGATAAAGAGAACACCTGGAGGGTAAATTAATGGTGATGGGAGTAATCATTGTCTCACAGGCAGGGGATAATGGAAGAGGTAGCATAACACATCTGGAGGGAGACCTGCTGGGGAAGGCTGTTCTAGTCTAATGGCTTGTTTTCAGCTTTCATCAGCCAAGTGTGCTGTATGCAGATATAGTGTTAGATTAGAACTGGGACGAATTCACTACAAATACCCACAAAGCATACTGAATAAAAATAATCCAGTCACTGCCATTGCAGCACAATCCACCACACAGGATCATTGTGAGGCCACAATGAGCAGAGGAAATTGTAGGAATAGGGGAAACCCTAAATTCCTGTGAGAATGGGGTAGGGCAAAATGTACAGGATAAAATGTGTCTCTGGGAGATAAAGACAACAACCTTCCTTCTTCCACCAGCATTCCTCAATCCCTCCCCACCCCCATCATTCAGGAATTCAGAAAATGGAGGCAGTTTGTTTTCACTGATGCTGAAACAAATGTTGCACTTGTCTCAAGTATAAGTGGAACAGATCTCCAACATGAATACGTCTGAAAAACCTTCTCCATAAATGGACCTCATATTTAGCCTGACTAGCTTTCTTGAGCTATCTACTCTGACCATATAGTGATTGGACGGGGTAGAAATATCCCAAATAAATAAATAAATAAATAAATTTCCTGCTTTCCAGGTCTGATGCGATTGTAGCCAGGATTGTTTTGCTCTCTGGTTGCTGAATTAACATGGATGCTACTGAGTATTTACAGGAAATCTGTAAGCACAATAATAAGCAGTGGCTAATATTTAACTGTTAGGCTAGTAAGGGTGCAATCCTATGCATTTTCAGACAGAAAAAGGAATCCTACAATGCGCAGTATTCCCGGACTGCATCTTGATGGGGCATGCAGTTCCTAGAAAGGAGCAGTCCCGTAAGGTGGCTCCACATTGCAGGAAACAAAGCTTCTAATTTTATTTAACAAATTCACTTTCTGGGCCACAGGTAGCCGTTGCGTACTCCCTATGCTGCTTCTGTTGAGGAAGCCCAGTGTATTGCAGAGGCAAGGATTGGCTGCTTGGCTCCAAGATCCACATGAAAAGAAGCCCCGAAGAGACGAGGCGCGGCGCCGCCTTCCTTGTAGCGCCCGCCCCATCGCTCACTCTTCCTCTGCCCACACTTGGCATGCTCCCGCCTGCCGCTGCCGCACCAGCCTTCCGCTACAAGCTGCACTCCAGCCGAGTTGGACCTCAACTCCCGTCATGCCCAGGAGAGCACGAGGGAAGAAGGGCAACACCAATAAAAGAAACCCGGAAAAGCCCCGCCCCTAAACAACTCCACTTTTCCCGACAGCGCGCATCTGATTGGTGATGCTACGCTGAGGGCCCCGCCCCTGAATGACCCTCCCTAGAAGGGCGCGACGCAGCCTCGTGCGCATGCTGAAGTCAGAAATCCCATCCAATAGCGGGCGTGTTTTGCGGAAGGCGCTGCCGCTCCCTCCTCACAATGTGGCTTGAACGCATGCGCACTTGGCTGTCCTTAGCCTTGTCCTCTACGCGTCGGTGTGAGAGAGTTCACCCGGAGAGGCTTGTGCGCGCTTGCGCGCTGGCCGCCTACCTCGGGGGATTGCTGCGGGTGCCTGACATTATTGTTGCCTAGATCCCCCTTGCATGTAGCTTCTGCAATGGCTGGAGCCCTAAAGAAGGTGAGGGTGCTGCGGTGATTCGGAGGCTCGGGAGGTGACCCGGCAGGTTAGGACGGGTTGGGGAAAGGGATGTGAAAAAGAGACGGCTCCGGCCCTGCCAGATTGAAATCTCTGGTCTCTATGGAAACTCCGAATGAGATGCCCCATCCTTAGACCTTACTGTGCCCCCTAAAGCAGCTTTCGTAAGTCGGTGCCTCCGGATGTGTTGGGGAGGGCGAGCTTAAACCATCACAGAGTAACATATAATACTACAAGGCCCATAAGGCTTCCCTTGCTGGCAAAACAAGCATCTTTCCGAAGGCGTTTGTGTTTCCTCTAAACAATGCTCCACGACAGCACATCGTTTAATTAATTTCGGTTTCAAAAATGCCAGCCTACTCTTTGTTGTTTCTCCAGAAGATCCAGAGAAAAAATCCATTTGATAGTGCAGCTTAGAGCATGCCCTTCATAATTTTCAAGTTATCTGTTGAACCCTGATTTTATATTCCACTCATGCTGCACGCTTTGGCTTTCTTTCCAACTTGAAACTGAACGTTCAGGGATGGGATCCCCCCCCCCCCCGATATATCCTTGAATGATTGTTTGCAGACTGACATTTTACTATAGACTGTTTTCCACCAGGAGTTTCAAATTCCCCCAGATGTAAAAAGAAAATATGATCTTACTTTAAAGCTGTTTGTATTGCATATGTGTATTTATTACTTGGTGGAAAGTCAATGTTGATTAGTTGAAATATGTGAAGATCAAATTTATGTGAATATGTAAATCAATATTCAGTTTTCAAATCAATATTCAATAAAGGACACTAACAATACTTGAAGTTGTTCTGTAGTGGATTTCTAATGGGATAGATGCTTGTGTGTTTCTAATTCATTAAATCATGACTTAATATGGGGGAAGATTTGCAGTCTAGTTTAAGCATGGAAGGACTGAGAAATTACTGCTGTTGATTCAAATTAATAATAGTTTATATTGGCTAATAACTAAATCAACTTAAAAGGTAATTGGGAAGAATATTTATATCCCTTCCCTTCCCTAAGTGAATGTCTCTCTTCAGATAAAACTTGCTATGACATATAGTAGTATTTACAAATGCTCCTTTGGCTTCAGAAACATTATTATGTTTAGCCATAGGCACATTGAACTGATCATTCAGCACAAACAAATAATTATCAATTAAACTTTATTTAATGGGACCACAGTCCCATTTAATAATCATATCTATTTTTAATTTCTGCAGACCACTGGTCTTGTGGGATTAGCTGTATCTGAGACACCACATGAGGTGAGTATAACATAACCACTTATTTGAAATAGAAGTATGTAGAAGTGAAATGCTGCATATAATGTATATATGAAAAAGCATCCTAGGATGCAGACCTATGCAAGTGCAGGTCTGCAGCTCCCAGCATTCCTCAGTCAGACTATGATCTCAGACAATCATTAGTTGCGATTCAGAACTTAAATTCTATCAATTTATTTATTTATTAAAACATGTCTATGCCGCCCCTTGCCGAAGCCTCGGGGCGGCTCACAACATAGAATAAAATACACAATAAATGAAAACAATAATGATTAAAATATATACATTAGAATAAAATAAGCCGCCCTGGCCAAATAAAATTCAATAATATTAACATTTAAAATGCTGCTTAAATAAAAAGCATGTTGCATCATGGTTAATAAATAATACCAATAGCACAATACTATGTACATGTGGTCATTAAAAAAATCCTACAATTCCTGTCTCCAGTTCTAGAATCTTTTTTTCTGTCTAAATGTGCATAGGATTGTGTGCCACAGGTTATCAGGTAAATTTATTTATTTGTTTGTTTAAAGCTTTTATATACCATCCTTCACTAAAAAGTCCCAGGACAATGGTACAGTGAAATAAAAGTACAGCATCAGAGGACAAAATTCAAATAAAACCCCATCTTAAAATGCATTAACACTTAAAATATTGGAAAAATAAAAGGTTCTGGCCTGGTGCCAAAAGGGAAAAAAAAATGTCAGCACCAGACTCATCTCTCTGAGTTCATGTTCCATAACCATTAGGCCATGAAAAAAGCTCCTTTCTTTTAAAAAGTAGTAATTTTAGTGTACTTGATGTTGTTCTATTTTAGACCTGTAAAATTTTATTTTACTACTCTTTTAAGGTGGCTTAGGAAAAGATACAAACATAATAACCTGAAAGAATAGAACTATTTAGTTAAAGGCGTATGAAAACTAGACCATAGGAAAACACAAAGCAATCAATGTTATTTTTCTAAAAAATGAATGCATAAACACATGTGCACACAGATAAAATACATGGCTGAATTAATAACTGTGTGGCACCTGAAGGTTGTAAATATAAGGCTGCGTTTGCAATTTAAGGAATCTATTAATCCAGCTTTTGCTTTACATGCTTAGGTAGCATGAAGTGTTTTTCACCAGTTTAGGATGGCATGCTAGCTGTAACACTTTTGTATGGGGTAGACTGCCATGAATACTCAATCTGTAACATCCAGGCTCAAGAACTGTCATGTCTTATACATGGGACTTCTTCTGAAGACTTTTTAGAAAATTGAATTAGTTCAAAATACAGCAGTAGGATGCTGAGCAATATAGATTATATCACATTTTGCCAGTGTTGAAAGGGTGAGCATAACAGTTTGATATGCTCGTAGAATTCAGCATGTTCGTACCGGCCTATAAATCCATATACAGCCTGAGACCAAATTATCTTAAGGTCTGCCAGATTTCCTACAAAATTGTTCATATTTTGAGTGTAAGCATTATAAAAAACCTAAATAATCATAATATGTATGTTAACTCCCAGTTCATTTTAGCTATTTAGTTATGAAATTTATATACCACCTTGCATAAAAAGTTTAAATTGGCTAACAGTAATATACATTAGAAAAACATATCAAAGAACAATACCAATTAATGAGCAGAAATGGAAATAAATGATATTGGTATAAAATCCCATATTAAAAAATCTTCTAACAAACAAAACAAAACATCTAAAGAATTAAAAGCCTATATGACATGAAAGGTGTATAAGCTAACCTGCTTTTAAGGATTTGAAGAGGTAGACTTTTCTATGGCTATAGTCACACAAAGTGACAAGCTGTGGCAGAAATATCTTGTCATTAGGTGTGATTACCAGGAGCACGTGGTGCATTTTAGTTACTATGAATCTCCAGAGAAGAACAATGGTCCTTCATGTTTCCATGTTTCAGCATTGCTTCTCATTGTGTGGAGCTGGTTACGGTTTTCCACAGTGTCCCCATTTCCGACAGTGAGTTTGGCAGCAAGAGTGGCTGTGGCTGTTTCAGCCACCATTTTCTGCTGCCATGCTTACCTAGCAATGGTTGAGTTGTCCATATATGCCTGCCCGCCCCTTGAGATCAGCGGGAGAGGCCCTTCTCCGGGAACCCTCCGTGAAGGATATTAGGAGGGTAAGTACTCGGAGGAGGAGTGCTTTCTCTGTGGTGGCGCCCAATCTATGGAATGCGCTCCCCAGAGAGGTCCGCCTGGCGCCGTCGTTATTTGTTTTTTGGCGCCAGGCAAAGACCTTTTTATTCAAACGTTATTTTAATTGTTAATATTATTTTTTGGGCCGGGTTGACTCAAATTATATTGTTTTATAATGTGCTCATTTATTCATTATTGTGAGCCTCCCGAGGCTTCGGCAAATGGGGCGGCATAGAAGCCTTCTAAATAAATAATAAATAAATAAATCAGGCAGGGGGCTGACCGGCTTTCCCCATGCTCCCTATCTTCCCTCCCAGGGTGTACCCTCCAATGCCCAGTTGGATTCCCTAGTTTGCCCACCTCCTAGCTGAATTGCAGAGATGCCCATCTTACCCACCTGGCAGAGCCACGCCACCATGTCCCCTCCTGTCAGGCCTCCTCCACAAGCGCACTGTGCCCTTTCACATGAGGTCACACTGTCTCACTGTCCCAGGAGCCAGGTAGGCAGGCAATCTGGCTGTGCATCTGAGGGCACATGCCTGGAGGGAAGACAGAGCGGCAACCATGTGCAATTCTGTTGAGTAGATGGCAGTTGACTACCACTTCCCTCCACTCTGGGATGCGTGGGGGAAGTGGTAGCTGACTGAAAATCTGCTTAGGGGATGGTGCAGGCCAATGGGGGAGAGGCAGGTGGTGCAGGCAGGAATGGTGCATGCTGGGATTGGTTTCCAGCCATGGGTGCTGAATCTACCCACTGGATTCTTGATTCTTGAAGATCCTGGACACTTTTCAAAGGCAGTTCCACATAAAGTACACGGCAGTAATCCAGATGTAATGTAAGAAACATGTGTTGCTCTGCAAAAGTGGGCAATCAGAGCTTTTAATAAGGGCGGTTAGGAGATCAGTGCTGGCTGCTCTGCTGGAGGAAATAGTTTCTGAAGAAAAGAATGGATGCACTGGAGGCAGGAACAAATTGAAGACATTCCAAACCCACATCTTTACTTACTAGTACACATTAGACTGCTGCATTCAATGTGTAAACTTTAACTGTTATGTTTAAATTACTGTTTACTCATTGCCATTTGATCTTGTCAGCACCTCAGAATACTCTATACAAAAATTCTTAATGCCCTGGAGAACATTCCAAAAGATGCAGCGTATAGGAGGTATACAGAGAAAATGGTAAATGATCGGTTTCATATGGTAAATACAGTAAGTACATAACTTTTCAACATACTCATTTGCTACTCAGATAGAGATGATTCTTAAATGTGATTTGTGTTAGAATTATTTTCATTAAGTAGAACTTGCTGAACTTTGGTAACAGAATATTTGGGGGTTCAGTTATTCTTACAAGAGGATGGGTGGTTGCTGGGTAATTCTCCTTCCGTCCCAGACTAGATTTAGAGTGCTGTCCTACATGTCGGGTCATATCAGGCTTCCCATGAAGGTGAATATTAGACTGCAGCTGTGTTTTAGCTTCATCGTGCAGGTATCCAGAAATAAGTATTTATACATTTATTTTAAATAACATGTGTTCATAAGAAACAGCTGTGCATACTCCAGAAATACAGGTCAATGCCAAAATAGTGATACAGTGTTGTTATTCTTTGTAGTTCCTGTTATTTGTTTATCAGTATCAATACATATTGCATTTCATGGCAATTTTTATCAAATCATTGAAATACTAAATATATTTAACTTTTCACACTTTAAAAGCCACAACTTCCTCATGATGCTAACCTGAAATAGCTGCTGCTTGTTGAAAGGATATATATTTATATGGCTGATTTATATTTTTCTTTGCACATTCTGAGAAAAAATGCTATGCTAACCTGTCTGGCAATATCTGCAAATGACTATTTTTTTGCATCATTCAGTATCAGACACAGGAATATATTGTTTATACATATATTGTGGGACAGTTCTGAGCCTGAAATCTGATTTGTTCTTGAATTTGCAGGAACCTGATGTGGAAAAATTGGAAAATAAAATCAATTGTGGACAGATAGAAGAAGTTATTTCACAGGTAAAAATGTACAGTATATAGCAAAAATATATATTTTTTTTCAATTGCAGCAAGCATGGACTACTGAAAAAAATAAAAGGAATCCCAAATACTTGCTCAATAGATTAATTTCTTAACAAAAGGGGATGTGGTTCTTGTTTTCATTTTGCCCTGCAGAAAAAACTATAAAGTTTACTGTTAATAGTTAATAGCTGTCCTACACAGCATCAAATAATGCAATATTTAATAGCACTGTACTGGTAACAATGATATTGACAGCAAGCTCAGTGAGATTCACAGTAAGTGTTTATATGGTTTGGTGGCCTTAATGTGTTTTTTGCCAGCTATCGAAATGATTGTAAGAATGAGGACAAACACTCATTTATAATTTTCATGAAGACAGCTCACCAAGGGCACACTCCTATTGTCTTCATGGCAGGTGCCCATAAATCTCCGAATTCAGATGTTCACATGGTGGTGATCTTTGCCACCACTGCATTTTATCTAGTCAGCCTTCTTTGGCCCAGAAACAGGGAGGGAAGAAGGTTGGGCCACTGACTAGAATCAGTGCAGCTCCTCTACAGCCCCAGCCTTTTCCCCTCCCTGTCATGCCTCTCCTCCCTCCCTCCCTCCCATTGTAATGTGGCAAGGAGAGCAGCAGCCAGCACAGTTCTTTCCAATCTGGCTGCAGGAAGGCAAAGCAGGGGCTTGGTCTCCCAAACATCCAGTGTTTATTATTTTATTTATTTAATTTCTATACTGCCCAACAGCCGAAACTCTCTAGGTGAGTCACAAAACACATTAAAAAAAACCCAAAGGATACATTGTATCAAAACATGTGAACCTTTAATGGTGTTTTAACAATGCAAAATTTAAAACCACATATTAAACAGGAGGACAAAATTGTTCTCCCAGATGATGTTGGGAGACTGCAAGCTTATGCCTTTAGAGGGCAATCTTATGCATGTTTAGGGAGAAAATTCTACAACTCTCATCTATCCCAGTTAAATATTCTGGCATTAACACTAAGCTACGCTATTAATTAAACATTGTATCTTAGTTTTTGGCTAAAAAGCTGTAACCAAATGCTTTTTTCTTATGTAAGGAATATACAAAAGTAATACAGCACTTCAGTCTTGGAGCCACATGGTGATAACCATTTTTTAAATCCTTTTTCTGTCTAAACCACCCCTTAGACTGCAGATACTATTGCTTTAAATAGCAGTATGAAAACTGTTACTACTACAATTTTACGTTTCCTGTATTAGCCCATATTCTTGTATTCTAAATGCTTTCCCAAATGGCAGATACAGTACTGGCTGCAAAACCTTCTGATGTGTTCACAATTACTGAATCTGGATGAAATATGTACAGTGTTTGTTTATATCAGTGCTGCACAAATTAAACTACTTAGTAAGGAATTAGTAAATCTGTATTTTATATATGCAGTTAGTGGATCTCATGGATTTTTAAGGGGCCTTTTAAAATGATGAGAATTCACAAACAGTTATGACAATGTACATTGACTATTTTTGATATAGCATCATTGAGTGACTTTTAAAATTTGTATTTTCTCATCAGGCGGAAAGTGAGCTCCATCTAGCCAGGAAAATGGCACGATGGCGACCATGGGAGCCTTTAGTTGAAGAACCTCCAGCTGACCAGTGGAAATGGCCAATATAATTGTCTTTATTTGTAGTTCAGACTAGAAAAACATGTGATTAAATTTATGCTGGATAAAACTCTTTAATGTTATGTATAAAGTTACCTACCTAAAAGATTTGTCTGCCTCCATATTAATTGGAAGATCTCTGTAAACTTACTACATCATGGGAATTGATCTCAGTGATTTATCGATTGTAATCTTATGTTCTGTAGATATCTGCATGTGTATGAATTCTTGCAATGCATGACTGAGCCCGGCTGCCCATCATAAACAACAGTGGGCATGTGCTTGGGTTCTGTGTTCATGTTCTTAACCCAAGTGGACTGGGATGCACTTTTATATAGGAGGACTTTACAGACTGCTCATATATTGCTCTAGAAAAGCATCTGTATAAGTACCCATGTTGGTGATTCAAGTGGGGTGGGTGCAGCAAAGCCAGAATTTCACTGAGCCTTTCAGCAGTCCATATGTGTACAGACACCACTCACTTGGAAAAAAACTGGCCATAACTGGATGCGATATTAACCAGGGTTTCAGAGAATTCTGGCATACTGTCAACAGACCCTCTGTGGTTTATTGTGATGTCTAAACAAGGATCTCTGGCATCTCTTCCCAACTAAGCTGGATTCATAAACCAAGCTGTATGACTTGGCACGTTTGTGGAGAGGTAAGCCAGAGTTCATGGTTTAGATGTCACAGTAACTTGTCAAATTTGAGCAGCATACACCATGCTGGCATGTTAACCATCATTATGCTATTAATAATCCATATTTGTGCAGGTGATGGAAGACATCTTTATGGAGGCTCGCTGCCTCTGAGACATGCTAAGATAAATTTTGCATCTTTCTTGTGGGAGGAGTAGTGCCAATTTTAATTCTACATGCACTGAGACAGCAAGTCTGCCTGCTCACACTTTGTATAAATTAGGCTTTTTCCAAGTAAACCATTTCCTGTATCAGCTAAGACGTATAAAAAAGGTATTTTTAGAGTTATCCCAATAAGTTTTGACTGTGGCCTAGAAATGTGAATTTCCCAAAGCACCTGCCTGCCAAGCCAAAGTAACACTACCAGGACAGGAAGTCATAGGGCTGCTATTGATGAAAGGATTAGGAGCAACACTTCCCTATTGGCACACAAAGAAACAATTAACAGGCTGTTATTTGAAGGATATTTTGGGCTATTGTACTTTTTGAAAAGATACTATCTTTGAAATATATAATACGCTGTACTTCTACAAAGCATGACTGATTTTTAGTTTTTATTTAGGTATTGGCTGGGATCTGTACTTCCTTACTGCCATCTTGTAAAAACAACTGTGTCATTTAGAAACAAACTCACTAGAGGGCGTCATACCTTACCTGGAAAGAATGTGCTGGATGAAGATGGGAACTCAATACTGAAAAGAAGCACACTTTTAAAGCAAATGCTCTAAGCTCAAGACAGAAATATGACTGGACTGAATAGTTCTCACATTTTTTTGGAGGTAGCCTACATCTCTTGCTTTATTTTTAACTGATACGTTCCATTCTTGGTCTACTTGCAAAGTATTCTATACTGTAATCACATTCCTTTTCACATTAACCTAAACTGAACTGGAGCAATTTTGCAGTGCATCGAGTATACATCTGGAAGCCTCATGTGGAAACATCTTTGTCATTACCATGAACTCTTACTTTGCCATAGTGTGTCCCTGGCCTTGCAGGCCTCTTTTGAAATGAGCATTTGTCGAGCATGCTTATTTAAAGATTAAGCATAAACTGCCCACATACACCAAACTTATCTGGAAGTAAGCCACACTACCGTCATTTATTTCCAATTTAGCATGCACTGGAATCCCTAGGGCAAGCTACAACGTGGACCTCCTTGTCAAGCATGCCCAATCGCGGGCAACTGCAAAAATTCTCCATTTCCCCAATTACCAAGCGTCTTTTCCATTGGATCATATTTCCTGGAATTCGTATACGTAAAATAGCCAATGCATTCTCTCTAGCATACCCTTTGCAGTAATTACTAAATCACAAGCGGAAGCCCCAATCGCTTCTCTTTTGACCGCAACATCCCTTTGCGGACACGCGCCGTGGAAATCAGAGCCGCAAGATCGCGCGCTTTCTCGACCCGGGAGGGCCTAACCTCGCGAGACTTTCTGGTTGCTACGGATACACGACGCTCTCAGCTGCAGACGGCGAGGATCGGCTAAGCCGTGGGTTGCTTCGGAGAGTTTCGGTGAAATCCTCCTATTAAGGTAAATGTTATGGCCTTTGAAAATAAAAGAAAGGATGGAGGCACGTAATACTGGATAAGGCCGAGAATTCGGGGAAGAATGCGTGTTGAGCTTGCGGTGCGAGCAACTGCTGTTGTATGACTGGTTCAGTCCATTACTACAGTTCCCAGCGTGCTGTGCGCGGCGGCTATCTTTAAATGTCTTTGTTGCAGTAGCCTAAAGCCCTTTGGGACAGTACTTAGTGAAGGGAGGATGATAGAGGTTCCCACACAAATCACGAGAGCTCGTGATGCATTCTGTGATTCAGATGGAGCAATATACGAGATTTACTCAAATCTAATTGCCTCCGGACTAAGACTCCCAGAATTCCACAGCGGGGAAATAATAGGAGTTGCAGTCCAAATATATGGAGGGTACCAGGTTGGGAAAATTGCAACGTGTGATACCGCTTGACATGCCCCACGCCTTTAATGTAACAGGTGGGAGGTGCTAGTGGTACTGTTTCATGCCGGCGAAACACAGGATTTTATCATTTTGGATAGATGGTTTCCCTTTGCCTTTGACAGGTACTTGTAGCCTAACCTGGCGCAGCTTTCTCTGAGATTAAAAGTATTCTGTTGCGGGGCGGGTGAGAGTCCTGTTTGTCCAGGTTGTTATGTGCCATCAATTCGACTCCAGCTTATTACCACTCTATGAATGAAAGCCGTCCAAAATGTCTTGTCTGAGGCAGCTTCATGCAACTCTTGTGAGTTCAAGGCTGTGGATTCCTTTATGGATTCAGGCCATCTAATATTGCAGCTCCTAAAATTGAAACAAAGGCTAAGCAACAGAATTAAACTATTTTCACCTGACTTTTAAAAAAGGCTCATACATTATGTTAACCTCTTATGTGATTTTTGTGAGTAATATGATCTGTCAGTCACTCTTGATAAGCGAGTCATGACAGAATGGCTGCCTGTACTGTGCAGCCACTGTTACAGAGATAAGAAACAAGATCTGTCACAATAAGGAGCCTTTCATCTGAAAAAATTCTTTTAAGCTGCCCTTGAGGTAATAAAAAAAGATGAAGACTGGCTGATCCTGATGCCCTTTCCCCAAGGAAGCAGAAACATCCACAGATTTTGCACAGGTGTAATAAAAACACAGAAGCAAGGCGCAAAAAAAGTGTATACTGTTTTCTTAATATGGAATATGTATGTCTGGGGGAAGGGGGGTTGGCCTGTCAATTATAAAACAAGCACAGCCCATCACTATTAACCCCATACTGCAGCTTTAGGGAGCTGCAATTTTGAAGCAGCACCTTGTAGCAGTTCTGCAGTGTCATTTTCTTCAAGGCTGGTGGATTGCACCATAAAGAGCCAAAGAGGCTTTTTTTTTTTTTTTTTTTTTGCTATAGTCCAGGTTTTATTTGAATAAACTCTAGGCTGTTCTCTTAGGCTGTGGTTCAGGTCAGCAGTTGGTGCTTTCAACTGTTTTCTGATTCCTTTCAGGAAGCACACCCTAGTGTTGTTCTTTTATGTTGTTATGTCGTCTGTTTTAATATAGCAAGTTAAAGGTGGCTTAGATTGGGATAATTCAGCAGTGTATTCAACTGTCATAATGTAGGAAAGAGGTGTCTGAAGTGAGTTGTATATAGCAACCATGGAAATGTAATTTGATGTTGCTCATTCTTCCTACGTTTTTAAAAGGGCAACTCAGCTGAACAGAAGGCTGCAACATTGAGTGCAGCCATGATGCTGATGGGGTGGTCCATTTAGGACATTTTGTAATCAACATTCCCCCAGCTGCTTGTGACTGCAAACTGCCTGCTGGCAAAGGGATAATTTATTTATTTATTTATATTTTTGGTTTTCTATCCTGCCTTTTTCCTACAAAGGGCTCAAGGCAGCTTACATCATTCTTCTCCTCCATCTTATCCCCACAACAACAACCCTGTGAGGTAGGTTGGGCTGAGAGTCTGTGACTGGTCCAAAGTTAACCAGTTGACTCCATGGCTGAGCGGGGACTAGAACCCGGATTTTCTGAGTCCTAGTCCCATGCTCTTAACCACTACACCACACTGGCTCTCAGTCAATCATCAATAATCAGTCCCAGTTCAATCACTGGTGATTGGCTTTGCAGCCTGCACCCCCTTCCCAACTGCATTACTTTTCATTTCTCCCCTGAAGGTCCCCAAGACTACACTAACCTGTGACCTGTAACTCAATTCTCAGTACTGCTAAATAATGCTTGAAACAACCATAGTGAAAAGTGTATCTACCACTGCTGCCCTCCACTTCTTAGCCATTTTCCGTTAGTAACTGGTTAAATTATCACACACACTTCAAATTGTGGCAAAGGTCATTCTATCATCAAGGCCCCTATTTCACAGTCTAGTTTTAGAGCTCAATGGTAGACAGCAGCTTTATGCTTCTTTGACTTGCATGTAAGCACCATGTGCTTTCCCCTTCACTCTCTTCCAATATTTATAAGTTTCTTGAAACAACATACTGTCTAAATGCAATGCTCCCTTATTTGAAAACCTTCCGACAATCACAGATAAAGGAGTTCTGTGTGAGGTCCATCATCATTGGTGTAACAAATGCATTTTTCATACGAGTAATCACTTCTATAACTTAATACTATTACATTTAGTGCAACTTATGAGGTTGAACCCTGGTTCAAAATACGTTTTAATGAGAACTAATTTAAAATGTATTGTTTTATTTTTAAGTCCAGTACAATAGAAACTAAAAAGATAACCAGAAACTACAAGTAAGAAATGGATGAAAAAGGATTGTTTGCAATTCATTTAACAACATTGGGATGAACTTTTAAAATAGGTTCCAAGGTGCAGGGTTGTTTTTCCCTTCAGATGGTTAAAAGTAAACAATCCTTCACATGTTGAAACATGCTGAAATTGTTTTTGCTTTTCGCTTGCATGATTGTTAAAATGTCTACTATTTCTTTTAAGAAAATGGCTGATCCAGAAAAGGAGGCAAATGACCTGGCTGAGGCAGATGCCAAAAATGAAGTTATAGAAGACACATCTGTGACAACACAAGCAGAAGCAAATACACACTCTGTAGGTGTTACAGCAGAACATACAGATATAGCACAATTGCATGAAACAACTCCGCTAACAGAGCAGAATCAAGACAGAGATTTAGCAACACGTGATTCAGATGCTACTGAGGAACTGACTGAGGGGCTGTCCACTGCTGAACAACCCGTACAGGAGCCAGAAACTGCTGAGGAACGAGTACAGGAGCTGGGCACCACTGCAGAACTGGCTGCTACTGCAGAACTAGCACAGGGGCCAGCTATTGTTGAAGATTTAGTTGGGGACCTTGCCACTGCTAAAGAACCAGTGAGGGAGTTGGATGCTGGTGAAGAACTGAAGAGTGATATGGAACTGGCTGAGGAACCAACCTCTGATAAGGAACCCCACACAGAATCCCAGGATGAATTCCCAGAGACTCAGAAAGATATTTCAGATGTTCAAGATCTTGGTGCTGAAGTTACACCAACCACTGTGAAAACAGGTGTTCCAGGAATCACAATATCTAAAGACGTTTCTGAAGAGCATACAGATTTTGCAGTAGACATGAATGTGGCAGAAACCATGTTAATGGAAGTTTTGGAATCTGAAAAAGCACATTTTTCAGAAAGTACAAAAGATGCCACTGTAACAGGTATAAGGATTGTCAGATACCATAACGGATTACTGCTTCCTTTGTCATTATTAAGTAACAACAATAGCAGCTTATCCCCTGCTTTCTTCTTAGCTCTATCCCACCAAAAATGCTATTTGAAAAGACGACCAGCTATACTTGGTCATATTATGTAGCACAAACTGTATAACATTTTCATATTTATCTTTCTCTCAAGAACACATGAGAATCCTACAACATTATTTTATTCACAGTATAACCAAATGGGATAAGTTGCACTGAGAAATGACTGGGCAGAGCCTTGCACAGTTTATTTCATTGCCAAAATGGGATTTGAATCCAGGGCTTCCTGCTCCTAATCCGATATTCTAGCCATTATATCACCCTAGCTTTCAAATGAAATTACTAATACAAAGCATGCCATTCAAAAACACCAAGTTAGCTATAAATATGACTTGCAGGCCTCATGTGGCCCGCTGTCTTAAGCACAACCACTGCTGAGACAAATTGCAACACCTGAAAAGGCCAATTTTTAAACAAAGGTATTGTTTAAAAGCTAAATTTGACTTTTATTGTTCCATGGCTTTTGTTGCTGCCACCACCCCAAATTCAGCAACACAGTAGCAGGTGTCCCCTGAGGGCATGCAGCAGAGGATTGAAACTGAAATTTCATCTTCTGCCTTTGATCATGGCTTGGTACAAAATATGACTAATAGGTAAGTCTAGTTTCCTTTGGTTGGTCATGTTTTCGCAGGAAGACAAGGTGGGTAATTCTTATGATATTCCATAGAACTTCACCCTGATTTTAATGCATTTCTAGAGTTAGATTTTGGGCCGTGGAATAGCACATTGCTGTGTAAATACAGTCACTCCAATCCAATGGGTCCTTAATTATGAAATATATATAACACTTTGCATCATTGGTACACAATGTGCTTATAAAATGGGAAAGTAAAATAAGTGTATCACAAAATATAAAAACATGCAGCAAAATATTTTAAAAACACTAAATTAAATTCCACATCACAGAGCAACCACAGATTTACAGGAAAGCAGCAAGAAAATTACATTTTTCAAAAGCTGAATGCCAAAAGCCAAATGCGATAGATAAGTCATTTCAAGCAATCTAAAGGAATATAGTGACCCAGGCAGTTAAGACTCCCATGAGAGAGAAAATGCTACAGTTTTGGTCCCATAACTTGAAAAATACCAACTTCGGGAAGCTTCCAATTTTTATGGGTGAGGTATCCTCAGCAAAGCTTCTTTGGATAAGCTCACCATATTTAGCTTTCAGTCCTAAGTACACTTTTTAGGAAGTAAGCTCTACTGGTTTGTTTTGATTAATATAACTTTTGAGGCTTGTATTATGAGATGCTAATATAGGAGATAAAATTCCTTTGCACATTTATGCATTCCAGTATTCACACAAGATTGTATACATGAACAAGAGCTTCTGCATTCACTTCACTGTTGTGCAGGAACCTCTATGCAACTCTGCTTTTTATAGTTTAGTGCATTTCTAGTGACACTATTTTAGACATAAAATATTTTGTGCTGCCATGTATATACAGTAATTGCTTCTAAAAATAATAGCAGCTAAAGGATTAGACAGCATATTTCCAGTCCTGTATACTGCTATTTATTCAGAATGTTGTCCTTATAGTATCATTATAATGTATTCTTAGTCTTTCAAAGATTTTATTTCACAGATACATTTGCATTTAAAAGTTGTTTCATTTTTAAAATGTAACCATAGATAAGGGCAAAAGAGAAGGAAAAAAAAGGTACAGCAGGAACTTGACTTATTTTATCTGAGTAAAAAGTATATTCTCAGAGACAATTGCTAAAGAAATATGAAAATTGATACATTTGTTTGTATTTCAGTTAAATTCATGCTTCATCCTGATATCCAGATTTTCACTATGGCTTTTAACATTAATCGAACTGTGGAGCAAATCAAGAAATATTTTGCAACACGATTACAAATGCCACTGAATGTTTTACAGTTTATGTTGTTAGGTATGTATACAGTATTAAGAACTCCAGATGTGAAAAGTTAGCCATGAAAGTGCAGAAGTGAGGCTATAATCCTCACTTATGCATACTTATTAAGGCTTATGTTCTAATAATAGCACATACATCTGAGTAAATATCCTCATTTGGGGTCTTTGTTTTTCATCAATAACAGCAGCTTTTCATATGAATAAAGAAAAAGATGTCTAACCTGCCCCATTAGCCCTACAGCTCCCGGGGTGGGGGGGGGGCGGGTTACAACAACAAAATGCAAAATAAAATACAGAATAGAGTGAAATACAGAATAAAATACAATATAAAACAGCAATTACAAATAAAAAACATTAAAACCAATATCAGATGCATGAAACTATTTGACATACATGCAGTTAAAATGCTACAATTTAACAAATTAGCTTTGAAATAAAAATATTTTTAGTGATTTTAAATTGATTCTAAGTTGGTTTTAATGTTTTTATTTTTATAATGTAGTGATTTTAAATTGGTTTTAATGTTTTTATTATTTTTATAATTGTATTATGTAATTAATTATATATCATAGCATATTTTAATGTTTTTAATTTTCTTGTGAACCATTTGGCAATGTTTTAAAATATGGGCAATGGAATATAACTCTACTAAATAATTAAATAAATATATAAAGATGTTGCTTTTATTATTTGATTTTGAAGTGCATTTTGTTGCTATATTAAAATATACCAAAATAACAAAGTCACACATATAAAATGAAAGGACTCATATATAGAAGCATTGCTTTGGTTAATAACTCCCATCTTTCCCCACAATTGGTCATGCTGGCTAGGACTGATGGGAACTGTAGGAAGAAACAGCTGTCCACCCTTGCTCTACAGTAAAATGAAGAAAATATATGGTAAAACTCCTTTGTAATGTTCATGGGTCAAAAGGCTAATTTAGGATAGCAGTTGAAGTGGCATTGCCATAGGCTGCCCTGCCTTTGGTTGCATCTAAAGAAGGAAAATATTGATATTTTTGATGTGAAACCTAACCATCTTACCATTTACTTTTAGGGAGAATAGTTGACAATAGTGAAACCTTATGGAACCTTGGAGCGCAACCTAATGGAACCATACAAGTTGATATGTTCTCCCTTGATGAGGAAACCTTTCCAATCAAAGCAGCTAAACTCCTCCATGAATTCTACATGGCTGATGTTATAACTGTTAGAGTGCAAAAAGGTAAATAGCAATGTTTAAATATGCAGCCTAACTCATTTAAATCAAATATTACCCTGTACTACCCCATATGTAATTTAACATACTATTTTTATCTGAACAGATGCAGAAACATTTCAAGATATAGATGTAGAGATTAAAAGGCCCAGTTTCAAGAAGCCATTTTTGGGTGGATTTAGACATAAGCATACAGGCACAGAATATCACAATGCGGGATCACAGACAGATCCAAAAAAACGTTTGGACAAAGAATATGAAGAGTTTTGTAGGTCAACACAGGTAGGTGTGCAAGAGAATAAGCTAAGATAATAGCAGTACATTCCAATACATGTTTACATAGAAGTGAGCTCCATCGAATTCAGTGTTATAGGGTATAGAATAGTAGCATAAGGCTCCAATCCTATGTGCACTTCCTTTGTGATGATACACCCTGTTGAAATGAATGTGACTTACTTATTTGGAGACATGCATAAGATTGTGTTGTAACATGAATATGAGAAAAGAAGCTGATTTGGAAGCTAAGTATCTTCCAGCATTTTAGAAATGGATAATTATATGAGTTATTCCTTAATCTTTTCATAAGTTAGTCTTTTGTTCCTTTAATATTGTACATAGAGTCTAATGTTTTAGCACATCTTAATTTTATAACAACAACAATTTTATAATGTGAGGATTAAAATTAATAATTTTATTTCTAGACAGTTGTTGAGAGGAAAAGGCTGCAACAGACAAGAAATACAACTTCCACCCAGATGACTAAAATTGGTGTCTATGTGACAAATGTCACTGATAAACTTATAGAACCAAAACGGTATGTGACAGCTGAAGAATACCATGCGCGACGGCTTAAGGCAGTAAGTATTCAGGCCATCAAATGAATATAATTACACCAGCAGAGTAAAAGATCTTTTGATGTAGCAGTCCCACTCTCATTTACTTGGGAATAAGTTTCATTGAACTAAATGGACCTTACAAATGGGCAGACATGTATAGGATTGCATTAGGGATCAGAAATGTGATGCGTGAGGTTTACATTTAAAGAAGAATCATAATATTCTAGTACAGAAAAGGCATTTTTCTGATGTAAGCCGCCCAGAGGTGCTGTGGCACAAATGTTTTAAATAAATAAATAAATTCTAAAGTGTTATAACATAAATAATATTCAGAGCCATGTTTGCCAGCTTTGGATTGAAGAGACAAGCTGCAAATGTCTTGATTTATATGTCAACAGGGAGCGATTCACAATTATTATTGAAAGAAACTGAATTTAGACAAGCTTACATTCTTCTTCGCTGATGCTTTGAACATGTAAAACTTTCAAAAGCTCTGTGTCATCAAGATAGTTGTCAGTCAACATGCTAAAGTTTAGAATCTCTTCTTACACTACAGCCAACAATACCTTGAATAAGGTGTTTGGAGTTTATGCAAATATTTATGTACTTCCTAGGAAGCTTTCCCATTTTCTTTCATCCTGCACGTTCATTGTTTTAGTTAAGAGTACAATATGGCTCCATTAAATGCAAAAGCAGTCCTATCTGAATATGGTAGTCTTCCCTGCTTGAAATGCTTTCATATTAACATTTGGCACACGCTAACCAGGAAAATGAAACCAGCATTAAGAATTGCTGACCCACAAAGTATTTAACTCTATTTCATATTGTTATTTTTGTATTTTTAATTTTAATGTTTATATTTTTAATTTAATGTTATTTATTTTTAACTTATTGTTGTAAGCCGCCCCGAGGCTTCGGCGAATGGGGCGGCATAAAAATGTTTTAATAAATAAATAAATAAATAAATAAACTATGTAGTATTTAAGGTGGCAATTCCATGTACATTTATCTGACAGGAAACTCTGCTGAACATAGAGGGATTTATTTCTGGGTAAGCACATTTAAGATAGGACTGTTAGAGTACATCCTGCACTCCCATTCCAAAGCTCCAGTGGCTACCCACAACCACAATTCAAAATATCAGTATAGGTATTACTGATGGTTAATTTTATTTATTATTAAGGTTCAGACTATAAACTATATAATCAAAGTCACCTTAATCATTTGCATCACTTTAAAATGTACTAGTCTGACATGTAAAATATTTGTTGATAAAGCCAAGCACACTTGTTCTTCATTTTTGTAAGCCCTCCAATACATAAAGGAGATACTGAAGAAATCTGCACTTCTTTAACATTGCTTAAATATTTTGTTGTGTTTTCTCTCCTGTACTCTTCCCCTCTTTACAGATAATTGTAATACAGACCTATTATCGGCGATGGCTAGCTAAGGAAGTAGTAAAAAAGCTAAAAGAACAACTAAGGTTAAGATTGGAATGGGAAGAGCAAGAAGAGCTCAGAAAACAGAGAGAGAGGGCAGAAAAACTGCTAAGGGAGTATAATCGAAGGATGAATCCTAGAACAAAGGATGATTTTGAATTACTCTATCATGCTTTAGAATGTAAGTTGTTTTGAGAGATGCATTTAAATGAGAATTCTGAAATTTCCTTGGTTAAAAAGAAGTATACATAGTATCTTTACATTATTGGATTGTTTTCAGGAGATTTTATGCCAAACTATATTTACTATCATGAAATTACTGTAAAATATTTCAATACCATTCAGTAAAACTTGTAGGCTCCCATGGATTTTTGGATCTGTCACCAGATTATATTCAAGTCTAGCATGGCCTTAACCTTTGGGTATTTAGAAAATATCTGGTGTTGTCAATGCACTTTCCATTTTAACTAGCAGAATACTAATTAATAAACTGAATTCAAGAAAGAGGAGATAGAATAACTGCCATTGGCTGCAGTTCAGGGGGTATTATTAAGTGAGTGCTTTTAGATTGTGGTACAACACTTGTGTTGCTACTGGCAACACCTAGTTTATCTATTTATTCTGTGTCCCACTTTTCCACAAAAAATTCAAGATAGCTCAAGATAGCTCTCATAATCAGATATGTTCTATGCATTACACAGAATGGGATAGTAGGCATTGGTGCTATAATTCTTAACCATGTAACTGCAGGTAGATGCTCATATTTTTAATGTTCACAACATAAAATTAGTATATTAAATTGCAAAGTATTGTGGAGCTTTATGTCTGATATGCTTCAAAGAAGTAGGGAACATAAAAAAGAGAACCTATTATTTCAGGTGGTCTGAAGTGGTACTGTCTTGATTAACACTGCCTTATTCTGTATGATGTTGTAGAACAGTTCTGATTCTTTATCATTTCCCTTCAATTGAAAACAAAGCAAACGAGCTCATGTAAGTTACATTGGCATCATTCTTCTGAATGTTTTTTTATTTTCAAAAGTGAACAGTGATTTCGAATCAGAGTTTGATGGCTGATGGAATTCTTTTAAAGAATGCAGGGCAACATAGCACTTGGCCTGATCCAGGAAGGCATTTCTTACTTTCTTAAATAAAAGAGCTTACTGCAGACTATTTTGCACAGATTAGCTATGCCTTAATTTCAGAGATCCTTTGCACACACTATAACTTTGTAAACGTAAAACATTTGGTACTGTAGCAATTCTAATAAACAAAGCAGTAGCAGTCACCCAGTTTTTGGTGATGCTGGCAAAATTCTGTAGACCATTGAGATCTTTCTTTCTTGTAGCATATTATATTAAAGCTTAACATGATCTGCTTAACATGGCTTACTAGTTCTCTTTCAAGGGAGTCATCTGAGATAGGATTAAAAATATTTTTATTCTGTTACTCAGTTGTTATGTGTCATGAGCTTGTTTGTTGCTTCTTCAAAGTTATTCAAGAATAAAAAATATAGAGCAACATGAAAAGCATGCACCAGTATGAATAGTCTGGGAGGAATAGACAAGGTTCTTTGGAAGAGTTAATTTAAACTGCTATAATCTGGCAACGGATCTTTTCAAGAGAGAAAGCTGGAAGATTATATTGAATTTTCGCTGATCAAGAGCTGCATTCAAAATACATAGAGCATTATTGTTGAAATATTCCCTGTGATAGAATTTTTGGTGTTTTTCTTGTGTGAAATGCCTTATCGCTGCAGGCTTAGCCTTTCTGGGCAGTTTTACAACTACTTTCTGAAAAAGTTGTGATTTTTTCTTCTCTCTCTCTCTCTCTCTTGGTAAGTAGCTCTAGATACAGATAGGCTTCTTTATGAGTTGTTTGTTAGGGCCAGATTCAAAATTTGTTTGTTACCCCCAAGTGGGGTGTATGTTGCCCCTACTCTTAAGTGAACAAAAAAGTACATGTCAGAACCCCATATGATACTGCAGAATCTCTGTTGTAGACTCTCACTTGGTGTTGGGAGGATGCCTTGATAGAAGCTGTGTGCATAAGCCTTGACTCACAGTCCTGCTTCTAGCTCAAAGTGGAAGGGCTTTGAACCCGGCAGCCTCATTGCTGCCAAGTCTGCCTGTCTCATAATCCCACCCTGTTGTTTACTTCTGTTTTTGTTTGTTGTTGGCTGGTTGCTTTGTCATACAGTGACTGCTAATCACTTTTATCTTCATATGGGAAGTTAGTGATGAGAAATTAGTGATTATAGGGAGCACTTTTAAAACTTGCTGCTGAAGCTACTTTCTACACTCCTTTGGTAACAAGCTAAATTGCTATGACAGTGGATCAATGAGTTCATTGTCCTCCAAAGGTTTGTGAGTGGTGTGCCTACTGACAAAGCATTAGGAGTTTGTTTCTGGGTCAGATAGGGCAGATGACAGTTTTTGAAATATTGAGTTTGATTTAATATTTATTTATTTATTTGGAAATTTTGTATGCCAGAAATCTGAAATGTTTTCAGGGAAAGAGAAGGCATTTTATCAAACACAAGAATTATTGGACAGTAAATATGGGAATATAGATATTTTATGATATCTTCTGTTTGGACATAATAGTCTAGTCATGTACAGGCGTAAAAACTTCTTACATTGCTCCTTGCAACAGTAAAGTTTCTGACTGGCTGCACTGAAGTGATAGTGCAGACCATTTATTTGCTCTAATAGCCAAGTAGTTTGCACTCCATTTTCTTTGAGGAAAGAGAGTGCAACCATTTGGTAGGTTGATTGAGGAATGTGAAGATGTGCCAGCAGGACTGGGGATACAGAAGCAAAGAGATTGAAGTATGAGTGTAGACTAGGAAATGGAGTGAGAGAGCAAGATCGAAAGGGGAAATAGGGTGAGTATGAAGCTGGAGGAAAGGACAGAGAGGTTGCGAGGCTGAGGCAAGAAGGAGCTAATGAGAGGATTGTGGGGTGAGGGGAACCATGCTGCTTCAGATGAGGCAAGGAGGGAAAATGTGCTTCAGAGACTGGCCAGAGGAAGATAGTTGAACTAGGTAGTGGCCAGAAAAGTAAACATTGGTGGAGACAATGGATGGTGGAATCATGAGTCGAAGACAGAAAAGAACCAGGGAGAAAAGTGGGCTGAGGCAAAACTATCCGTAGAATGTTGTGAAGGGGCAGAAAATTCAATACTGGTGTGCAATGCAACCCTGAAGGAAACAGTTCCAATAAATCTGCTTTAAAAACACATATCCAATAAGCAATGGATTGCTGTTTTCCTTTGCAACTGCTGCCCCCCTGTGGATTCTCAAAAACTTTGTGGCATCAACTAGAACAGTGGTGTTACAGCATGCAGCCATTCCCATTGCAATACCCATTGCTGAACTATTCAAAATGAAGAACACTTATTTGAGATGTGTATAATATTTGGTATTCATTATCAGATACATTTTGAGAGAAGATTTTTATAAACAGCATTTTATGGTTTTAAAAATAGTTTTCAGAAATCTGAAGCAATTAAAAACTTGAAGATCCGGGCAATATGTTCTCGAAGACTATGTTCAATCAGGACCTGTGTTCAGATTCTAGCTCTGTAGTGGATTTACTTAGGTAGCCTTGGAGGATTGCCATTACTTGGCTTTAGTTCTTCATCTGTTTCTCATTAATTGGGTGGAAACAATAATCTACTTCACAGGCTTCTGCAAAAATGAATAAGAAAATGATTTGTGAGGAACACAGTATAGGTGCTATGGGCAGAATGAATTGGTGGCAGTCCACCAGCACTAAGCACATGGTATCAGCAAGGATGACTGGTAGTACAATAGGAAGCTCTCTCTGCCTAGCCCAGCTCCAGAGAACAGCTCAGACTAGAGCTTTTGGAATGGGGCAAGTCAGCTGAGTTCCCTTCTGCTGACTAATCTGGGTTAATTTTTGCTTGTGCTATTAAGTGCTAGCTTCCTCTGGCACAAGCTGCCATTCCTGCTAATGCAAGGGCAGCATTGGATACTACCCAGTATATGTGTGTGGGGGTGTAGCAAATCAACAGCTAAAGATAAATCTGCCTAGCTAAAGACTTATTGGTACATGCATGCTGGTAACAGAAGAAAACATCCTACATGAATGGCTAATAACCTATGTGAATGACTCCTAGCCATTCTCAATGTATGCCAAGCTAATAGCTAGCATTTATCACCCATACATTGAATCCAGCTTTTGAGTATTCCCTAACTATTTGCTATGAAGTGGTATTTATACCAGTGCCAAAAGAAAAAAAGAAGGAAGGAAGGAAAGGGAAAGGGAAAGGGAACCCGAATTCAGTATATGGCAGATGATGCACAGGCTGAACCTGGCAAAGACTGGGAGAAAATAGGCCTACCACACTCTATGCCAGAGTAAGAACAGACCTATTCCATAGGGATGATCTCTAATTGCAGTGGGAATGATGAATGACCAAACTACACAATGATTGTTGCTCTTCCTGTCCTTTTAAAAAAGCAGCCATGAGGGAATTGGAAAAAAAAAGTGTGATTTGGATTTTGGCTGTGGATCAGAGGATTCCTATGCTGATTCTCCAGTTCAAGTCATTCCTTCTAGGCAAAAGACAGGCTGGAGATTTGCATTGGAAAATTGACATACCATGGTTCTGATCCAAATCCCTCTTCCTTTTGAAAAGGGCATTGGGTGCTTTAATCATGGAAAGTTGATGGAACATCAAGTATGAAGATGAGCAAGGTAAATATTGTACCTTAAAAGGCAAACCCTGATGAAAATTGTGTTAAGTAAGTTTATTAAGTATTTTTATGCCACAGCTGAAAAGTGGTTATAGGAAACAATAATAAAACTTGTCATGTATTCACAGAGCTTAATAAAAAATAATTTCTGTAAAAATTGTAAGTGAGACTTGCACAGCAATAGCCACATTAAGGTGATTATGTATCTTGTAACATCATTAGCATCAGTATTACTTGATTGTAAATGATGTTGAAATAGTTCCATGGTAAGTCTTCTGCTCAAATGAAAAGTCAGAGGAACACTGTAAATAAAGGCTGTGTACTCATTAGAACCCTATTTAAACAAGTCTTCCCACAGGGAATTATTTTAAAGATATAGTATTCCCACTGGATGGTAGCAGATTTACGTTTATGTTTTTTGATTGCAATTTGGAGCAGAACATTGAGGGAGATGAATAC